TGCAGGATGAAGGAAACCAAAGCTGAAGATGTAACACGGGGTTGCTCAGCCCCCAGGCAGGTACACACAGGTCCTTCTCCATCCCATCACGGGGTTTGGAGAGGGATGATCTGGTTATGGAGAACCTGCCGGGTTCCCACTTTGCCATCGGGGGGAAGGCAAGTGGAAACCTGGAAACTAAGCGTTGGTTTGGGCTGGTAAGAGCTGAAGAACTCCAGCACCACCAGCTCCAGTCTGTAACTCCCCAGCTGGAATACGGAGACACCGCGCTCTGGAATTCGGACTCTGCAGGTCCACCCGTGCCGAGCCAGGAGGAATTCGGGTAAACCCCTTCAACCACACAAAGGCTGTCTGGTTTGGGAATCCCAGCACGTTTGGGGGCAACGACAGCGGGTACAAAGCCCTTCAGATCACACAGTTTTACGAGAAACACAACACGTGGGAGGCACCGACGGCGAACACACGAGACGAGTCCCCGAGGCAGAAGAAGACTCAGGTTTACCTTGCCCAGCTCGGCTCTGACGGGAGTCTACACTTGCCTGTCTTCGGTCTGGTGGCTCCTCGTTCCCTCCATCTGCATGAGAACCAAAACAGCACAAGTAGAACATCATAGTGGACAGGTCAGGCAGATGCAACTTTTCCTTGAGTCCCATCACCTATCTCAAGGGGGAGAAGGGCAGGACAAAAGGTCCCTCTGGCAGACTGGAACCGGGGAAAGCGCTGCCCGGCTCTGCTGCTCCTTCCAGCTTCTCCCCAGCTCACTGCATGCGGAATCCGTGAGGCCCTCGGGATAGGAGGAGGATTTTAATTGCTCCTACTGACCCCCCGGGACATTTGAATGAAGTAAGAACCAAATTGTGCATCTTCTCAACAAAAATTGTGCATCTTCAACGAGCTCCTCCACTCTGGACCATTATCTCAAAATATAAAAATATTGAGCATTGGAATAAAGAGATCTAGGAGAACAAAAAAGAAAACTGAACTATGAAGTTTGAAACTGTGTCCTTCTAAAATTATTTGTCAGCTAAAAGCTGGGAAGGCTGGGAAGAACAAAGCCACTGGTTACATCCTCTCGAAACTCTTCAGGAAAGCAGCTACAGTTCACAAATCCCAAATCCATCTGGATAAATGCAGAGTGGGACCTTGTGTACAATATTATACAATTAATTAACAGGCTGCTCTTCATTGATCAACTGACCAGATTAGAAACAATAGATTCACCCATCAATACAGATGCTCGAGTTCATGGGATTTCTGGCAGCTGGGAGAACAAAGAAGCCCAGCTCTGCACAGTGGGAAGCAGCACATCCAGGGGTTTCAAGTGCAGGATGTATTTCAGTGGTTCTTACCCCTTATGGCAGGGGAAGGGGAAGCTTTTGGAACCTTTAAAAATAGTTTTGATATAACTGAATTCTTAAATAGCTGTTTAAAACCTCAATCGTTGGGTTTAGCATTGAAACTTTCCAATGCTACTAAAAGCAGCTGCACTCTGATATATTTATAACTCTGGATATCTCTAAAGAAGTTATTTGTTGGAGGGTCCTGCTGTGCCATAAAGTAATTTATCAACTCCTATTACATGGGAGTTCTGTCTGGCTTAAAGGGAAGTTGTGAATTGCAGCACAAGAGCAGAACTGATACGGGGACCAAAAATTTCAGTCTACTCCCATCCCCACCCCACCCCCCCAAAATAAAAGCAGTATCTCAGCCCAGGCTGGAGGAGGTTTTTTGTTTCCTCTTCCCTTCCCAGCCCTCAGTTTCCCTGAAGCCCTGCTCAGGCACCTTGAACAGGTGCCAGCAAGGCCATTTTCTGTCACCTTTGCATCTTTCCCTGCTGACAAAGCAGCTGCACGTGAAGGTCACTCAGCTACAGCAACCCCGAGTATCAATTTATACCAACTGCTCCCTCCCCCATAAGGCATCGACTGCCAGGTGTCAGGGGGGCCACAGGCCAGGACACCTCCCCTGCTCCCTTTTCCCTTCTGGATGTGACACTGCAACCACCACTGCAAGTGGGATGTGTTCACAGGAGCTTTTATTAGCCTGGAGAGACCCTCTTGGGATTAGCTGCACTGAGCCTTCCTACAGAGAGCAGCACTGGCAGAGCCCTGTCTCTGGGTCTGCACTGGTAACACCCAGCACTGGTTTGGACAGTGCTGTGCACAGAGGTCACATCACTATCATCGTCATCATCCTCATCACTAAATGCCCACAGCTGCAAACTCCCATGGTCAACCTCTAAGCCGTGGAGAAAACAAAAACCTTTGGGCTCTGAACACAAATTCAAATGCAAAATAATTAAAAACACTGAACGTTGCAAAATAAGATAAAATAAGACAAAGTCTCAATATTAAAATCAGGAGTAAAACCCTGTATTTGTCCAAAGCCACCTGATCGTCAGCAAAAGACAAACTTCATCCCTGAAAGTTCCCCCCATCCCTGGAAGTGTCCAAGGCCAGGTTGGACAGGGCTTGGACCAATGGAAGGTGTCCCTGCCCCTGGCAGGGGGTGGAATGGGATAAGCTTTAAGGTCCCTTCCAACCCAGCCCAGTCTGGGATCTCTGATGATTCTCTGAATCAATCTCTTTGATCACCTGGAGAGGAAACACTTCTCCTGTACCATCACCTGAGTGTGTCGAACCCAGCCCTGAGAACTGGCCAAGGCAGAGGGCTGGGGGCACCAGACACGGGGTACAACAGGGAACCCCCTTCCAAACCTCCCAGAGCAGAACCAAGACATTTCACTCCTCCCCTATCTGACCTGAGAAAACCAAACGAGCCAACACAGAGGAACCCAAAGGAGATGGGGATGAGAAGATCATCCAACCCTTTGTAGCGCAAGATGATGGGACACACTCATCCTTGCTGGTCCGCAATTTTCCCGGGATAAACACGATTTTTCCTTGCAGAATAGTGGTTTATTCAACTTCCCCGTGGGATCTGGGCCAGGAATAACAGAGTGGAAGGTGGGTTTGGGCAGCAGCTGCTCCCCAATGTGCTCCAACACTCAATTGGTGGGACACAGAATGGTGACAATGCTCTGCCAAAGCCATCGGGGTGGGGAAGAGGAGCAGCTGCTCAGGAGCCAGAGTCTGGGACAGATCTCAGCAAGTTACACCATGTACGAAGGGAGAGAGAAAGCTCACAGCAAATTAACTTCCAGAACGAATTTAGGAGGGTGGGAAAGGTAAAAATAAACCAGATGACTCAGCAGATATTAAATCTTCAGTCGACTCACGGGCGCTGCTGCAGCTGGTGTGGTTGCAGCAAAGGAGGAGCTTGGGGGAAACCCAGGGTGCCCTGGGGGGCTCATCCTCATCCAGTGGCTTTTAGGGAATATTTTAAGAACTCCCCCAGCCAGTGTGTAGCTCTCCCTGTGACAGAGGTCCAGCAGTGCAGGTTGGGCACAACCCAGGGGTTCATTGTAACCCAGGTAAGGCTGGTTTGGGAAGCCCTTTGCCCTCTGCCCGTGGACCATCAACCCTCCCACCTGCCCTGCCCTGCCCATTCAAGTAAAAACAGTGGAAAACACGGAGCATCCTGCAGCAGATCCGGGCAGGAGGGATCCTCCAGGGCAGGAAAGAGGAAATGAAAATACTTGGAATAAAATATTAAAAAATACAAACAAATCAATGCCAGGGAGTGGAGAAGGCTGGCACCTGCAGAATTAACAAGTACGGTGAGAGGCACAGAGGCTGCAGGACGGGAAGGAACAGCCACAGTTGAGAGCTGAACAACTGAACTATTTAATTTTTTTCCTCTCTTTGCTACAAATCAGAACGTTGAGCACACTCAGCTCCTGGCAGTGGAGGATCAAGGTTACCAGGGAACAACAGCACACATAATTAAAGAGTTATCTTCAAGCAGATGCAAAAAAAAGGGGAAGTTACTGTTGCTAAGGGAATATTAATTCTCACGTTTTTCAACCTCTCAAGTGCTCAAATTTACAGTGTTGATAAAGTCCATCTCTGCGTGCACATCAGGGCTCTGTCACTCCAACAACACTCCCAGTTATTTTATTTATGCACGATTTTCAGCAGTTGTTCGCATTTGCATCAGCAATAACTATTATTTATAGACATGACCTACTATCTGGACAACACTTTGGGGACAGTATCACTCGTGGAGTTCAATCAACTCAGTTGCTGTAACGATTGTGAACGCGGTGAAACACCAGAGTTATCGACAACCCCCACCTCGTGCAACAGCTAAAAGAGGTCACCAGCAGCAAATCATTGCTGTGAAATCACTGCTGGAGAACACAGCTGTCTGTGTTAATTTAAAATAAAGATCAGAACAGACCCTGGTTAAGGAGCCTCTACAGAAGTTGTAATGAGAAGCAGAAAACAGATATTCTTCACAAATGCCACAAGGGAAGTGAATAATATTTTAGTGTTACTATTTTACATAGTAAATAGTAAATACTGACTCAGTAATCTATATTCTCTTGCACCTTGCCAGGAGAGGCAGGAAAACTTCTGTGATGTTTGGTTTTTTTTTTTAAATCTCAGTGTTAAGTCCATTAAGACTCACACGTTATTTTAATTTCCAAAAGATGCTGTCTCATCAGTGTCCAGCATTCCTGCAGCTGGGATGTTGGAACCTGGGGTCAGAAACCCAAAGAGTGCCTGGTTCTGTGGCAAGCACAGAGTAAACAGTCATGGCTATTAACCCTTTCCCTCAGTTCCAAAGAGGTTAAGGAAGCTCAAGGATCATGGTTAGTCACAGGTTCAGCAGAGCAGCCTCTCCTACTGTAACCAGGTCTCAGGAATGCTCCTACTTCCCCTTCTCCCCCATCCCCATCCCACCAGTTCTCCACTAAAACCAGTGACACAAAAAACCCTCCCAATACACACAACAACTGGATTCTTTGAACGGGAAAAGACAATCCCAAGGGTTTCAGCATTTCTAAACAAGTCCACTGCACAAAACACCGCGTGGCCACCAGCACGAGGGGGCTGCCTACAGGAGCCAGACCCCTCTGCACCAGCACGTCTGATCCCTGCAAACCCCACAGCACTCCCATGTGATCCCAGCAAACCCCACAGCCCCCCCAGTGTGGTCCCAGCAAACCCCACAATGTGATGTCAGCAAATCCCACAGCCCCCCCAGTGTGGTCCCAGCAAACCCCACAGCCCCTCCAGCAGCACTTCCCGCCAGGTGTTCTCGTTAAAGGCAAACACAACAAGTTTTACATAAAATCAAGTGGCAGCAGCCCAGTATTCCTGGTTTCCTATTTCATTTCCAACCCACACCGTGACTAAAGGTCTCCCCAGACCCCTGATGTGACAAGGCAGTTTTGAAGGCAGATAATCCGAGGTGGGTGAGGCTGCTCCAGCACGCCGGGAAATCCGCAGCGGAGCTGGCAGAGCTCCCCTGGAAGAGCTGATCAATAGTTCAAATCCATATCGTATCAAAAAGGCAGAGGAGACTCACACAAAGCCAGTCCAGCCGTTATTTAGGGCTCCCAGCCCAGCCCGGCCCGGCATCCCTGCGGAACGTGTGCCCGGCACGGGGGCAGGCGACGCGGCTCCCGACTGCCATCGTGCCCCCCAGAGCGCAAACACGGGGCAAATAAACCCCAAACCAAAGGAATCAAACCACCCCGGGGGTGGGAGCCCGCTGGAACGATCCCGGAGCTGCCGCAGCCGGCGCTGGCTCCAACCCCGGAGCTGCCGCAGGACAGGGAGCCGCAAATCCCAGCGTTCCCGATGGATTCCAGCCTGGAATGACACGATGGGTTCCAGCCTGCTGAGGAATGGCACGTGCCAAAGGATCCGCCCGCTGCTCCTCCGGGGTGAGCCGTGCCTGGAAAGGGGCAAAGCGTTCCCAGCCGGAGTGGGAGGGGAGAGGGGGGCCCGGTCTGGGACTGGGAAGGATTATTTTGATCAAAAATCCTTCCAGATTGTTTAGTTCGTGAGGGGGTTTTCTGCCTCAGAAAACAAATATTAAAATTATTATCATGCTCAAATTAATTCTTATAACGGAATAATAGGACTACTATTATTATTTTTGTTGTTGCTGTTGTTATAAAATTACTATTGTGGTTAAAAATGGTGTTATAATTAAAAAATAGCATTATTATTAAAATCAGTGTTATGGTTAAAATTAGTATGATACAAGTTATTATGATAATAGAAATCATTAAGTACTGCATTAAATTATTAATGCACCTACCCCTGCTAGAATAACTCCCTGGTGGGAGTGTTGAGGTGAAGGGGGGGCTGGGGATAGTTGTGGGTATTGAGGGTGGAAGATTTTTTTCTGATGGAACTATAGGACAGACCTGGGTTATTAATCACTGTATCATTAAAATCCAGCTCCTCAACCACTTTTTAACCCTTAACACAGATTCACTGGGGTTGGAAAAGGCCTCCAAGTCCACCCTGTGCCTGATGGAAGTCACAGGAATGTTCCCTAAGTATAATACTGCATTTATTAATTGCTGATCCACGGGCCATCAAGAGACTTTCTTCCTTTTTTTGCAAACGACCTGCCAGTATTTCAAAGGCTGTGTTTTGAAATACTTCGGCTAAACTGGAAAATTAATATACATTTAATTCGGATCAGGGTTTTAGCTCATTATGTGGTAAATACGGTCCCAGTGGTCACCAGAGCAGTGAGCAAATGCAGAGTCAGCACTGCCACGGGTAGGGACTGACTTCAGCTGAGTCCATGGCTTGGAAATAACTTGGAATATCATAAAATGTTCAACATTATGAACATACACTGCTGAGCCCTGGCTTTAGCAGGCCTGATGGAGAGCAGGATCCTGGGGTCATTCCCATGTTGTTAACACCCCCAAAGACCAGGACACAAGTGCTCCTTATCCCATTATTGCTTAGCAAACTACATGACAGGTTTTATCCATAACTATAAAAATATATGTGCACTTCATACTTGGGGCACTTTAAAATGCCATTAATAAGTATCTCAGCTAAATTTATAAACAAAGGGCAGCTCCCCTTAGTGCCCACATCTATCCCAGTTCAGTAAGGAGTGATCTCCAGGGGAAAAAGCAATCCTTCTACACAGGAGATGGAAAACACAGCCAGTGATAAGACATTTATATCAGATAAAATATCTGCTTTGCTATCAAACCAGAGAGGCTGACAACTCACCCCGAGCACCATTTGTCAAAACATTATTACTGCACCATTTTGCATTTTACTTCTAACTTTCAGCTTTGTTCTGACAAGCAGATGAAGACCTTTTGTTCCCAAACCATGAGACAACCAGAAGATAAATGAGGTTAAGAGGTAATGAGGTATGTGGCCTCCACAGACTCTTCACCTGGACCTCTTCTGCTCCGAATTTTTCTCCCTTTAAAGCAACCTGCACCACCACCACTGCCCGTTGGGGCAACTTCCCCAAGCCCACGGGGTCATTCCCGAGTGACAGGCTCTTCATTAGCAAAGCAGCATTATATCATACAACAAAAATGCAACTGTGACCTGAGGAACACACCCTGGGAGCCAAACTTCAGCACCTGCAGCGCTGATCTGATACACCAGCATTTGCAGTTTGGACATACTGAGGGTTATCTTACAAGAAACTTTGTTAAAGACGCCCAAAATTCAGTGTTTGGGAAGAAGCAGCCAGCTGGAGAAGTCCCTCTGAAGTGTTTCACACTGGGACAGTGCCAGCCCTGCTCCAGCACAGAGATGGGACCGTTCCTTTGTAGAAACACGGAATCACTGAGGTTGGAAAAGCCCTCTGAGATCATCGAGTCCAACCATCCCTCAGCACTGCCAAGGCCACGCTGACCCCTGTCCCCAAGTGCCACATCCCCAGGGTTTTTAAATCCCTCCAGGGATGGGGATTCCACCCCTGCCCTGGGCAGCTGTGCCAGGGCTGGACAACCCTCTGGGTGAAGAAGTTTTCCCTAATATCCAACCTAAACCTCCCCTGGCACAACTTGAGGGCGTTTCTTCTTGTCCTGTTGCTTATTCCCTGGGAGAAGAGACCACCAGCTCCCCCCTCCTGTCAGGGAGCTGCAGAGAGCAAGGAGGTCCCCCCTGAGCCTCCTTTTCTCCAGGTTTTTCCCCTCCCTGCTCTCCGAAGTACAGCTTCCCACTCCCAGCTGTGACTATCCCTGTGTCACCTCAACCACGGTGACGTGGAAAACCATCCCCAAAAATGGGGAACAGAAAGCCCCATTCCCAGACCCCCTGTGCTCACCCACCCAAGCCTTGCCACCTCCCATGGACCTCTCCAGCTGCTCCCACACCCTCGTGGGCTCTCTCCCACTCTGCCCAAAAGTGCCTCAGGATTTCTCCAGCTCATAATAAACCTGCCTCAGACACAATTTCCATGGGGGGAAACAGAACTTCCATTATCCTTATTCCCAAATACATCATCCAAAAGCTAAAAGTTAAGCAGAAAGGTATGAAAACAAACAAGTTTTCATTGACACTGAAGCACAAATTGTTTCTTTTCTGGCAGCAGAACAGAATGTCATCCTGGTCCTTGGGAAGACGTGGTCTCCTCTACTCTGGGATAAGGAGAACTCAGTGCCAAATTGGGTTAGCCCAGAATTAAATCTGGCAACACAAACAGAACGAGTTTTGAGGTGTTTCATCCTCCAATCCGAAGAGATATAACAATAAATATGTATGAGTGGGGAAAAGAGGTAGGAAAAGATAAAAATAACCAGAATATTTCCAAATATCAAGGAACAACTCTACAGACAGTCCAGTTGCTCATTTTTTAAACCTCATTCCAAGATGGGAAAACCCTTTGTTCTGTATGGGAGAGCTCTGGGGGGGAAGTGGAAGTGTGTTGGTGACGAGGGAAGGGGATGAGGGAAGGAGGCTCAGCCATGACTGACTCCCGAATTCCCTCCCTGTCATCACTGACTCCACTTGCTGTCACTCTCCATCTGTAAATTATAAAATACTTGTAGGCTCTAATAGGGCTGTCTGAGACCTTCAGCAACCACAAGCATTTCCAGCTTAAAATAAAACCCATGACAGATACACTAATTATTCCAACTGACTCACTATGTTAAAATGTCATTAACTAAAAACAATTAACACTCTGTATCACATATCATTTTCTTAACCGCTACCACGACGCAAATTTTGCCTTTGCATTTGTGTGTGTCCCTCTAATTGGAAAAGTTCAAATGGCATTTTTAGAACAGCTTAGTGGTCATCTGTCCTAAAATTAGTTGAGAAAATTGGTACAAGTGACTGAAGCTCAAAATAGTCGAGGCTGCTGCCAGCACTCAGCGATCCCTGCACAGCGACGGAACGGGAACAGGGAGAGGGGTTTGTCAGGGACTCAAAGTCCTACTGCAGAAGGAAAAGGCTCTGAAATCCCCCAAGCCCATGAGTGATATATTGAAGATATCATTTTGGCCTTGGTTGAACCCACAGGAATCCAAAGGCCCATCCAAGGTCTTCCCCTGGGAACTCCCCAGAGCACCTCAACCCCTCGGAGCAGGGGACGCTCCCCTCGTGTCGCTGGGGATGAAGGGCAGAGAGTGCAGGGGCAAAGCCAAGCCAGTGGGCACAGGTATGGGCATGGGAATGCTCCACAGGACATGGGCACGCCCTGCTGCTGCCTCTGGGATGAGTCTGTCCCACCTCCCTTGGAAAGGAGGTCGTGGCGAGGCGAGGGTCGGTCTCTTCTCCCAGGGAACAAGGGACAGGATAAGGGGAAACAGCCTCGAGTTCTGCCAGGGGAGCTTCAGGTTGGATAACAGGGAAAATTCCTTCACTCCAAGAGTGGTCAAGCTCTGGCACGGGCTGCCCAGGCCAGGGGTGGAGTCACCCTCCCTGGAAGAGCTCAAACCATGAGCCAACGTGGCACTGGGGGCTGTGGTTCCGTGGGCACAGCGGGATTCGGTCAAAGGTTGGCCTTGATGGTCTTGGAGGTCTTTTCCAACCTCAGTGATTCTATCAAACCACAAGCACAGCCTACCAAAATCCCAAGTGAAATATTCCAAGGACTTGCAAAGGTTTAAGTTAACCCTGGTTTTAGAACTTAAACCTTTTTTTTCTCGTATAACCCCAGCACGCCCTATTTCAGAGTCACAGCTGCTATGGCCAGTGTGTCCTTCCCACACCTTCAATTAGCTTCACAGCTACCAAAACATTAATTTTGCCACACAAAACTGAGGAGTCAGTGCTGCTGATGCTCCTTAAGTGGTTTTTTCCAAGCTCTAAGAGTAAATTTTGTGACAGTCAGCAATGGTGTCCAGGCACGAGTCCCTCCTTCCACCTGTGGACCAACCACAACTCTTCACCTGCCCAAGGTATTTAATTCAATTATCTTGGTCAACCCTATTGATTCATCTATGACTTATGCAGGACACTGATTTTTGGCAGAGCATTCCAGCACGTCTGGAGCAGGATTTGGCACCATTAAGGGAGATCTTCCAGCTTTACACATGCACGTGATAATCACTGTGGTGGTGTCACAATTAAATGTGCTGGGACAGGCTGGTCTAAAACTCTTCTCACTCTCCAACAATAATCATAGAATCATGGAGTATTTAGCATTGGAAGGGACCTGAAAGGCCATCTAGTAAATGATGAGGGTTTTAGTACTGAAAAAAGTCATTTACCTACAGTCTGAGTCTGAATTAGCCAGTGCAATGACAGTCAGATAACTAAGGGGGAAAAAAATCTCATCTGAAAGCCTTTTATTTCCCAGCATTTCATTGTTTTCTCCCAGCTGTAACAGTGGGTATTATTTCCATCAGCAGCTCGTGCTGCATTCTGCACTCTCATACTGCAGTGGAATTAACTCTCCCATCCCATCTCCAGTAAAAACAAGCACTATCCATGTTTTTAGAAACACATCAGTACTTTTTATCAAAGTTATTTCAACCCAAAGCAACCAAAATCCTTCTTCCAGTCTGTTATCTCCTGGAATCCAGATCACTAAATGTTAGAAGTGGTACTTAAACACAACAGTAGGAATAATGCAACCCAAACATCCTCGGGAATCATCACTCTCCTGTGGCTCCAACTGCAATGGAAAAACCTTCCCTAACTGACTTTATTTTAGTCAGAGTAAGGGCAGTGACTAAAGCGTCAATTTGAAAGTAAGAAGTAAAGCATTTTTGATAATAGAGGTAATGAATTGTCCTTCTGATTTTGATTCAAATTGCTGGGAAAAGTGTTTCACTTCGATAACAAAGGTACATCAGTTATCCATGCAGAAATGTATGTACAGTCACAATTTATGGCCTTTGATCATAAATATCACTTGTTTTCCTACTCTGGGCAATTAGACAGTAAGATATAAAGAGAAGTTAACAGTTCTACTTAGTTGTAGGAATGAGTAATTACTTGTAAAAACATTTCCCAGACACTCCTCAAGGTGCAGCAGCAGCACTGGAGATCACACAACGTTCACAACCACTCACAGCCAGGGCTTTCATGGAATTAAATACTGAAGGAATTCAACAGGAAAAAACAATACAGGAATTTGCAGTGTCATTTTGCACCATCATTGATTTCCATCCATGAGACTACTCCTAGATATTCCTCCATGAATTTTAGGTGACACTTCCCCAACCCCACACAGTCCAAAGCTACACAGCAAGTTCTGCACCACGATGAAAGGCTCATCCCAGGTATGGAAAAACACTGGATTTAGGCAGGAACAACACAAGAGGGTCTAAAGAAGGCAAAGGAGGGAGAGCAAAGCATTAGTGCATCATCTCTTGGTTACTACAGTGGACTCCCCATCCCTGGAAGTGTCCAAGGCCAGGTTGGACAGGGCTTGGAGCAACCTGGGCTAGTGGAAGGTGTCCCTGCCCACGGCACGGGGTGGAATGAGATGAGCTTTGAGGTCTCTTCCCACCCAAACTATTCCACAGAATCACAGAATCAGCTGGGTTGGAAGGGACCTCTGAGATCATCAAGTCCAACCCTTGATCCA